AAAAACAGCCTCCACTTCAGCTAGTCATTCCCACATTCACCGTTTCCTTTTCATTTTTGGTAGGGCTTCTTTTGTTTTTAAACTTGTTTTATTTTGCTTGTTTGTTACAAACCACATCACCACAAATGTCTTAAAATTGTTTTTCAAGAGACCACAGCTAGTAGGACCACATAGAAATTGTAAGATAAAACAGGTAGACCTGGATCATTTTTCAGATCGTTTAAGAGCTTTTTGAAAGGAAGGCTTTCTCATAGCAATCCAAGATGTCTTGCTGCTTCACACACTTTGTTTTACTTATTTAGAGAGCTGGATACGCTCCGAGGCATGGTGTTGAGCGCAGTGACACAAAAGCCCAGACGCCCTCATGGATGAGGAGGGTGCTGGGTAGCATGGCTGCCGTTAGGCACATGCAGCTGTATAAATTTAAAGTAGAGACATCTGACTCCTCAGGCTCAAGTGCCCCTTTTCAGCAGCCCCCTGGGATTCAGGTTGCCTGGTGAGACACGCAGGCATGGCGCATCCCTTTAAGGTGCAGAGTTCTGCTGGGCAGGGTGCTGCCACTGGGGAATGATGTCACACAGGCCAGGCTCTGAGCCTGGGGTGCTCTGGGGTGATCTGGGCAGGCTGCTTGCCCTGTCTGTGCCTCAGTACCCTTGTCAGTAAAATGAGTATAATATTAACTCTTACTTCTGTTTGCTCATGAAGACTGAGCACAGTAATATTAAATGCTTAACACACTGCCTGGGACATAAGTAAATATCCAGGAGATAGAAGCCATTATTCTTTTCCTGGTATTTCATGCTCCTGTTTTCTCTGTCTGTCTGTCTGTCTCTCTCTGTCTCTCTGTCTCTCTGTCTCTCTGTCTCTGTCTCTTTGTCTCTGTCTCTCTCTCTCCCTGTCTCTCTCTCTGTCTCTCTCTCTCTCTCTCTCTCTCTCTATCGGAAGAGGCTAAATACTGTATTGCTTTGCTTAAAGCTGATAACTGCTAGATATTGTTGACCTGATTTTGAGCTACACAGAAGACAATATTGTAGGCTGTGAAAAACGCATCCGTCTGTCACCGTGGTACCTTCTTTTTTCTTTCTTTCTTTTTAATGGGCTGTCCCTGAGAAACATGATAGAATTCATTTTACTTCTCTTTTGTTAGGAAGTAACCCTTCTGGCTTTGTTGGAAGTGTGGTTTGTAATAATTGTACCCACCCCAGATGGCTCCTGAAAACCCTTTGAAATGCCATCTGTCAGGCGTGTGTCCAGCCGGCAGCCTGTCATTCTGCCACAAGGGAAGAGGAGGCGGCCCCGCCCTCGGTCCTCTCTCCCAGCACTGCTGAATGGAGCTGGGACCTTGGCAGAGGCCCAGCTCAGGCTGCTCCGAGAATAACAGGGAGTGAGCCCCACCTTCCTGCCGCGTGGAGTGGTTTTGTCCAGGTGATAAACCCTGGAGGCCCTGGGTGGACTCTCACCCGCCTGCCCACCCCTTCCCTGCAGCTCAGAGGCCTTCTGAAGTGTATATATTTACATGGCGATGATGTCTCACTAGTTTCATTGTTTCCTTTAAACTGCAGCATTTTGAAGTTTTTGATTATATAAAATCCTTTCAGGAAGTTAAGAACCAGGGATGGTTGTTGCCTTTAAAGTAAATCTGGCAAGTGGGATGTGAAAACATGGTTGAAAAAAAATGGTGAAGCTATCTGAAGAAGGAAGGGGAAAGTAACAATATCTGGCCTAGAACGACTTCAAACTCCCCACAAATATTTTGTTTAGTTTTATTTTATCCTCATTTTTAGTGGATGAAGTTATTGCCATTTGAGTATAGAAGCTGAATAGGAGAGTTGCCATGTACAGCATATTTAGCACAGATTCTTTCACAGCGCATTTCAGAGACATTCTATTCTTGCTGTGCCCTGGAATTTCCAGTGTGATGTACACTTTGGGTGTTTCCCAAGAGGCCCGCTGAGCAGCTTTTGTACTTGGCTCTAGGACCACACACGCACACACGCGCACACACACCTTTGCGCCTGCCTGGCACGGTGCTGCTTTTTGGTCTTCCTTTAAGATCCTTTTCCTATTCCTAGTTCCTAAAAATGAGAAGGTCTTGGTGTCTGTGCAGTCCAAACCTCATGTCCTCCTTTTCTATACTTTCTCTGCCTTAAGATGCCCTTGGTTCACTGGTGATCACTCCCAAATTCCCATTCCAACCTTGACTCTGACCTTTAGACTTACAAGATCACCTGTCCTTCAACTCTGCCCTGAATAATCTCAACCCTAATGCATCTTCAGAGTCAACTCTTGATTTCTGGACTCCCTCCCCCTGAAAGCATTTTCTCAATATTTATAAATGGTACAACCCATTTCCCTGAATCAAATACTATGAAGCCAGCTTTATTGTTATTTCATGATACTGCATCTAATAGGAAGTTCTGTCATTTATGTCTCCAAAATATATAGCTAGTATGAGGTCTATTGATATCATATTTTTAATAGACGATCCTATGGATAATGTTACAGCTATTTAATATATTCATGTTTTATAGTAGAAAACTGACTACTTCCTCACTACCTGTATCCTATTATTCTTTTCCACACCCTGAGTATCTCTCTCCTGGACACTATGAGAGACATCTAACTAGTCTCCTTGCTTCTGTAATTGCCCATCTCCCTCTACTCTGCCCATGCCTGCTTTCTGTAATGCCAGAGGTCTTTTTTAAAATGAATGCTGCATTTAGGCACTCCCTTGCTCAAAACCTTGCAGTGATTTCCTCTTATCCATAGAAACTAATCTGAAGTATTTTCTGTGGCCTGCATCCCGTGCCCCTTGCTTTTGTGTCCAGCCTCATTTCCATCATGAAGCTGCACATGCACCAGCCAGCGGCCCTTCCCCTGTACACATCTGAGTCCCATGGCTGAGGATGCACGTGCCCTCAGCCGTTCCCTTGGCCTACGATGCTTTTCCATCACTTCGCATGTGCCAGGCTTTCCCTTCTCACCTACCTAAAATTCCTTCCCTGCTCCTGAGCTAGACTCCCCCTAAAAGGTACTCTGAAGCCCTTTAGCCTATATTGCTGTGAGAGCCTGTCTAACATTTTAACCCACAAAATTATTTGCACATGAGATTATGTGGTGGTTTTATTCACACATTGATTTTCTCTCAGTAAAATATAAACTTCATTAAGGTAAGGACATTAACTCATTCAGCAGTATTAGAAGTGTTCGGCATGTTTGGGGGCCTTTGAACGTATTTACTAGATAAACAAAAACAGAGTGGCACATACACATATATGCATGTACACATATTTGTGTATAATATCAGATTATTTTAGTGGGATTTGAACTGTAAGATTCAACCAACTCACTTCATTCTAACAAGAACATACACTATGATACCTACAGACTGATCTAAGCCTTCGTAAGGGATTGTTTATTCAGTACCTGCAGTGAGAACCTAGCATGTAAGTGCTAGTGTTAGCTGTGTTTCATGGGAGAAGATACTGAGAAGTAACAGAAACTGAGGAACGTGTCTAAGATTGAACCTGTGCTTCTTACCCAGACTCTTACTCTTCATCTTTATAAGAAACTTTAAAATTTCTCTGAACACTTACTGTGTGCTTGACACTTGAGCAGGAACTCTTTAAGTGTTGTGAATGACCTCTTCCCCCTCACAGTGCCAGAAGTAAGAACAAATAAGGAGAGGGTGTAGGAGTAGACTCATGGGAACAAACAGGAGCAAACTTCTTTACCTTTAGAAAGGCCTAGGTGCTGAGCATGAGAAGCAAACATTGCAGCACAACTCCTTTGTGAATATTTTGCAGTTATTACAGACATTTTTCAAAGTTCAGTATACTTCAGCTTGAGTAAAGTATGCAACTGGCCTTGAGGTTTTTAACTTAGGGCACTATAGCTACCTAGGGCAGGTGTGTGGATGTGGTCACTACTATAGGCAGGGGATGTGCGTGGCATAGTGCTAGGAATGTGAATGCTACTAGGCTCACATAGCAATTATCTAATGGCTTTAAAGATGAAAGAAGAGAATCACTGGAAGAGGGAAAAATCCATATTTATTAGAAAGGAAAATTTAAATTACCACCATTGATGCTTTGCAAACTAAGTGTGTTGATCATATCCCCTGATTTGTAGGTGGAAGGCAGAAATCACAAGTTTTGCTTTGAACTGTGACATTGCAATGCTCTGTAACATTGAACATAAGTGCTCGTACACAGGGTCTAATTGCTTCTTGGTTTCTTTACTCAGTTTATGTCTAAATCACATTTTGCTTGTTGCTCTATGCTTTTTATACATGGTTGAGGCTGGGTTAAAATGATAGATCTGCAGCCCAGGGTGAACTTAGTACTCTAAAAGTTCTATATTATTTCATGAGAAAAACTGTTATATTTATTGGCTGTTGAGAATATGACCAGATTAATTCAGGGGGATAATTTTTCTACCAAATGCAATGGCCTTTCTATGTAGACAAACTCATGGTTGGCCTATTTTTACCAAGCGTATTAATCACATGGAGAGCAGCAGCATTTCAACCCCCGGGGACTCAGCAGTCCTGTTTCTCTAGTGATATGTTTATGCAGTGCATGTCATATTCTTCAAAGGGCTTATTACACTGGCACTTGCCACATGTATAAAGAAGCACAAGGATTTTAAGGCCTGTGACAGAAACACAAATAGCTTAGACCGTGAGCTTACCAATGACTGTAGCATTCACTTGAGCACTAAAAACTGCTAAGAGAGAATGTTGACTGTGTAACATCCAGTTCACCTATTTCATTCAGTGTGTTTTTAAGAAGTGTAAACTTTCTGGGTTGCTGACTGAAGGGGGACCTGAGGATGCTGTTCTGTTAGAAGGAAGTTGCCTCTCCCAGGTCCCTGTCTGAACAGGTAAGTGGCAGATAAGTTGGCTTACTGAGCAGGTTAGGTTAATTGCACCTGCATGTGGAACTTCCTGTTCTGGTAGACTGATGGCTTCTTCTATCTCTTTGTCTTTTCTGCTACAGGCACAACCCGATCTCCCAGAGAAGGAGAAGTGCCTGGTGTGGATTACAATTTTCTGACTGTGAAGGAGTTCTTGGACCTTGAGCAGAGTGGGACTCTTCTGGAAGTTGGCACCTATGAAGGTGAGGCACATGGCTGACCTGGACAGCCCAGGAACCCAGCCTTCCGGGCAAAATGTGTTCAGGACTCAGGGGCCTAAACATATAATGATAGATCACAGGGCTCCTTGCTATGGGGAAAATACTAAAATACTGGGAATAGGTGATTTATCTTTCTCCAGAAGTGTTCTCTTTTAGTTTATTAATTTAAATATATATACTTTATGGTTTAATATAAACATACTACATGATACTCTACAGAAGAGGAAGAAGAATCATAGGTAATGATAAAATGTGATCCTATAGGTAGAGCATTAATTTTTAAGGAATGAAATACCATTGTTTTTACTAGTTAGTTTTAATGTACTTTAGTAGAAAATACATTTATGTAGATATACTTACATAGGTCATACAAGAAAATATTTTTATAATATTGAATAAGTAATATTCAATTACCTGTTTCCCTTTTGCTAAATTTCCAACTTAATATTATAAGCTATGTTGCTTACAACTGGTGTTTTCTAATTACTTTTCTGAAGTTTCTTTATTTAAATATAAATGTATACACATGTATGTGCTTTTATTTCTTGCCTGCTTGTACAGTACACACTGCTTGGTATCTTGTTATTATTGTTTAACTTTGTCTTTTGGTAGGTCTTTGCAGTTCAGTACAGAGCACTTCTATTCTTCTTTGTATGATTCCTTTGTGTGAGTACTGTTTTGGTTACTTGTCTCTCACTGCTGAAACAAAATATCTAACACCCAAAAGGAAGGAAGGAAAGGTTTATGTAGCTCACAGTTTATGAAGGTTTCATTCCATAATTGGCTGGCTCCAAGGCGGTGGCACATGGTGGAGGGCAAACATTTATGGCAGAGGGAGACAGCAAAAGCAATGAGCAAGAAGGAGAAGAGCATGCAACCAGGCCTCTTTGCCTCCCTTATGTTGTATGCTGTCTACCTACCTCAGGCTGGGTGTAGCACTCACACTCATAATCCCAGCATTGGACTGAGAATCAATCACAAACTCTAGAAGCCCACTCCCATGACTATATGAGGCTTTGGGGGGACATCTCGACACAAACTATAACAAGTATATCATAATTTATGTAGCTAGTTCCTTTTAGAAAAGCACTTGGGTTATTTTCAAATTTTGATCTGTCAGAGTGCTGCTGTATTTAATAACATGAGCATATATCATTTCACACATGTAAAACTATAATGTAGGCTGAAATCCCACATGTGGGATTACTAGGCCCAAACCAAATATGGGAAGAAAGTTGCATTTTCCTTATTTATATATTTTTGTATTTTGTTTTATTGAACTGGTTTTTCATAAATATTTATCTAAATTGATTTTTAATTTTTTAAGATTTTAATTAACATCACAGTCGTGTATGTGCATGTGTAAGTTACTTGGTTTGCATTACATGTATAAAATGTATAATGGCCTGACCTGAGTAATTGGCATATTTATCACCACAACAGTTATCATTTCCTTGTCAGGAATATTTGAAATCCTCTCCACTATTTTGAAGTATGTAATTAATTTTGCCTAATACAGTTAGTTACCCTGCTGTTGAACAGAACATTAGTGATGATTCTTTCTCTCCAGCGTTATCCTTCTTCCCATGAGCTGTCCTCTCCTCTGTCCTCCTCAGTATCCTTCTCAGCCTCTCTTGTCACTGTCTATGCTCTCCTTCTGTAAGTTTCACAAAGTTGTAGTTTTCGAAAAGGTGATAGCATAAAGCTCATATCTTGTGAGCCTGACTTACGTATGTAACATGTAGCTTCATGCTTATCCGTGCTACTACCAGTGAGAGGGTTTTGTTTTTTCTGGCTGAATAATATTCTATTGCATATACAAATTCCATTTTCTTTATCCAGTCTTCTGCCCCTGGATATCTAGATTGATTCCATATTCTTACTTTTTTGTGAGTAGTGATAAGCATGAGAATATAGTTACACCTTTAATACAATGTTATATTTTCCTTTGGGTATCGAGTATGTAGTAGAATTGCTAAATGGCTCTGTTTCTAGCTTTCAAAGAAATTCAATACTGTTTTCCATCATGGCTGTACTAACTTATATTCAGTATATAAAAGATCTTATCTCCATGTCTTCGCTAGCATTTGTTATTTTTGGTCTTTTCAATAATAGCCATTCTAACTGAAATGAGATGTATTCGTGTTGTAGTTTTGATTTGCAGTTTTGAGATTAATGATGTTGAGGTTTTATATTTTTCTTGCTTGGTCATTTGTATATCTTCCAAATGTTATTTTCTGAAGACTACTGTAGTTTGATTATCGTTTAGCGTGTTCTTTCATGAGAGAGAAATGGTATAATATAATGTAGTAACTAAGATTATTAATTTGATTAGTTATATGTATAAACTCAAAAATTTGGATGTACTATATAATCACAAGGGCATTTTAAATATTGGATTTAAAAGATAAATAGGAAGTCGATTATTATTTTATTTGAAATAGCATAACTTTGATGTGATGAAAGCTCCCAGTATACACCTGTGGCTAAAAGTCAAGTAGTCATGAATTTTAGGTCTGTAGTTACTGGTATGATGGTCTCTGGGGGAAGAAGGTCACATGGATAGCCTGATCCAAATTGTAAACATACATGGAACGGTATTTAGGGGTTCATCAAGTAGTTGGTTATGAACCTGTTGCTAAATATCAGTAGGAAATGAAGGTGACTGGCTGGTTGCTGGGCGGATGAGGGTCCGGGAGTACAGTGAGGAAGGGAAGGGGCTGGAGCGGGCATGAGGAGTTTCCTGTCCATTTGAATCTGCCTGAAATCACCACGTCTTCAGTGAGGCAAGTGCAGACCCATCTTGGTTAGAAGATTCTGAATTGTTCTTATCTGACTCAGTCGGAGGAGCAGGAACTCCGAAACACACAGTGTTGGTTTCCATTTCTGGGAGGTGAAACAAAAGAGTATAGGGTGGGAAGCAGAAGGCTGACGATTTTATCAACAATTTTATTTGGAGAAAGACTTCAGAGAGAGACTATATTCAGTGTTTGTGTCACAGATTATATATAGGCTGAGTAGTTTCTTTTTCTCAATTAATTCATCCTGCAACAAGAGTAGCTGTTCCTTTTACTGACTCTTTGGGTGAGAATGCGGAGACCAAGAGCAGTAAGTGACCATGCTGGATCAGGAAGCCCGCTCTGTTTGACTTTCAGATCCTGCACTCTTTCCTGAAAATCCCAAGAATATCCTGGCTGTAACAAATAACCAATTAGTACTTAAGCCTAAGTTCCGGATACATAGGAATAGAGAAGTAAATATTTTTCAGAAAATATCAGCTTGTCTTAAATAAGACTCTCTTTTTGTGAATGCTGGTTGATTATTTTAGAGCCTTCCTGTGTCTCAAGTTAATCCTCTCTACTTTTTACGGATTTGCCTATGCAGTGTTCAGCCTTTGACCTTTTCGTGGTTTAATTTCTCTACCCTGTGAGCTGGCTCATAACTTCTTGGAACCATCTGGGGTATACTGTGTTGACTCATGCAAGCAGAGAGACAGCAAAGTGAAATTTTTGTTAAATGTCAGATACTATCCTGAGAGTAGTGCCGACAGGGTCCTCTGCCCAGCCTCCCCAGCCCAGCCCTCGATTGCATCTGCTGTGGACACTAAGGAGAACGTCCTGGGTTTTGTCACAAGCCCTCTGCTGGGGAGCCGTGTGTCCTCTGGCAAGTGACTTAATGTCCCATGTCTCCATTTTCCCTTTGGTAAAATGAGGATAATCTGAGGACTTCCTACAAGGCAGACTAAATGAGACAGCCATGGAAAGGGCTTAGCCGAGTGCTTAATATACATGTAACCTTTCCTTCAGTATCAACTAGCATGTTTACATACTAAATTGCTGCCACCGTGGACTCCCATCCTCTTTCTAGCAGGCAAACCAGCAGATTTGGCAGTGAAACACGTTACTTCATGGGGGCTGACCATCTTTTCACCTTACTGACTTTCTTTCTCTTGGCCTCTACCAAGCCCAGAGAGGAAAAAATTCATCTAGCACCACACCAGAGAACACTCTTTAACACAAAGTCTTGTAAAATTCTGAGGGAAAGTCATAAAGGTGCTTGATGCTGTGGCATGGGGAAGTAGCTCACAAAGGCTTGGGCATGGTCTCCCAGCCCTTGGCACTGTTGGCAGGCAGCAGAATCTTTAAGACACAAGGCCTAGTTGGAAGGGTTCCGGTCCTGTGAGGGTTGTGCCCTTTCAAGGGGCATCAAGATGCCGGTGCCTCCTCTCTCCTCTCTGGCCAAGTGATCTGAGCAGACTACTCCATCATCTGTTTCCCACAGTGATGAGTTGCTTCGCCACCAGCCCAAAGCAAAAGGCTTAATTGTTTGTGGACTGGATCCCCTGAGACTGTGAGCCAGAATGAAACTGTCTTTTTTAAAAAATGGATTATCTCAAATATTTTGTTATAGTAATGGAAAGTTAACATGCTGATAGAATAACCCCCACAACCAAGAGGTTAGAATATGTAAGGCCAAGTTGCTTGTTCTCTTCCCTGTAGGTAGGATTGTTTAACAATCTAATGCAAATGTTCACAAAACCTATGTACATCGCATAGATATTCGTGTGTATTTCACGTTATTCCTGCTCTTTGCACTTAATATTCCTTGGAGATCTTTTCACATTATGCCATACCAGTTTTACCTTCTTCTTTATAAATGCTGTTTAGTGTCCAAGTACTGTATGTGGACATGCTTACTTTACCGAGCCAGTCCTTTGCAGGTGGGCATTTAGGATGGTCCCTACCTCACGATCCTGCTATAGGGATCCTTATACAAATAACCAGGTACACCATTAAGGGTCCATTTCTGGCAGTGTGTATGTCAGGTAGTGTGATTTCCTTTGAGACAGGGTCTTCCTGTGTTTCCCAGGCTAGTTTTAAATTCTGCAAGTAATTCTTGTGCCTGAGCTTTGCAGTGCTAAAGCCCTTTAATGAATGAAAAGTTTGTGTTGAGTATTTGTTGTGTACTAATTTTCTCTCCAG